TTGCAACTATTGTAAGTTTTTTGTACTGAATTGATTTTATTTTTAAAATCTAAGGAGTCTTGTCTCAGTGAAAAAAAACTGCTAACAGTTATATAAGTAAAACATTCTGCTGGATGTAGTCATCTTTTGATTGATCGATTCTTTCTTCTGACCAATCAAATACTTAAAAGCATTTGCAGTGAGATATTTTCCTGATTCTGTAAAACACATGATATAATATATTGTTTTATCCTTGTTTAATATTTAAATAACAAGGATAAAATGATATACCAAAAGCATCATATATTTTATGGAACATAGCCTTTAATTATATCCAGAGAGATCAAAAATATGATTACAGAGGGTTAAACTATTATACTTGTAAACTAGCACTAACAGGCTTTATGAATTATGTAAGAAAAATAATAAAATTTCAAAATATAAATTTCTATACTCATGATATAAACTTTTGTGACTCATTTCTTTTTCTTTTTTTTGTATTTTCATTAAGGAGCTTTTTGTTTCAGTTAATGGACACAATAAACCGGTGCCTAGGAAAGGCAGACCTCCTTTACCGACTCCTACAGAGTATCTTTGCTTAGTTCGAGCATCGCTTCGTAATAGAAAAATCACCACTATTGTATGTCTTTCATCTACGGTTGATAACGCTGCTTGCATTTCTCTGAGATATATTTTTCATCTTTCAGATTCATTCCAAGGATGTGAACAAATTCCAACAGGCGTATTGGAATCTCTTGAAGACGAATATAAGCGGGCTGAAGAAACTGAAGAAGGCGAAATCAGCAAAACCGAAGGTTCACTGACCCAGCGAGGATTAACTGCATGACACTTGTTTATTTTTTTGTTATTAAAATTTTCATATTCTGTTCACATATTTATCGATACCTGTCTATTGTGTAAGCCGACGAGGAAGACGCGTTATGCAGCATTTTGTATAGACTGATGTACAAAAGATTAATAATACTGTTATGAAAGTATACACATATGCGGCCGATATATAACATGCTAATATGGATACATTCCATTTAAAGCTCGCTACGCTCGTGAGCATTATTTGTCTTTGTTTAACACTCTATGAACAAAAAAAATGAAGTGATTCTTAGAGCATTGCGAGCGTCAAGTGGACGCCCTATATAAGTGTGCGCACTTTCATAAATTTATGTAATAATGATAAGGCAATAAGAGATAATTATTAAGATTATTAAGAGTCCAAGGCAGATAATTTGGATAAATTGTTTGATGATCAATAGGGTAAAATTTAAATGGAATTTATATTGATTTTAGTTGTATTATTTTATTAAATAAGTAAATTCAATATAACATTTTTTACAATTCATTATTATATCTATAATATTTTTTCTTGTTTTTAATTATGTTAGTTGGATAATGATAAGATAATCATTTTACAAAACTTAAATACTTCATATGTAAGATACCATTTACAATCTCTTGAGAAATTTCGAAAATATCTTTAAATTCCAATGTCGTCTCCCTTTCTACAAACAATAGAATCATAGTGACATGAAGAAATACATCATTCCTCTAATCATTCGTCGCGGAAATATTTGTTATCGGATGACACGAAGTCTTTGTCCCCGTTCCGCAAGATTTATGATACTGGATTGTCGGAATGTCGCAAAAAAATATCTGATCGATTTATCGCTCTACCGATCGAACGAATAAATCTTTTTCGCGAGTGACAAATACATTGTTACATTATTTAATAGCTGCGTATGTACAAGCGATTTATTTTAACGCTGTAAATTGTACTTTGTTACAATTGCAATCGTTCGCGGTCATATCTCACGTTTATTGCGTCTCGGAATTTGGCTTGCGTTATTCTCGGTCCGAATGTTTCATCATGGATTCTGCAATCCTATGTGTACCTTCAAGATTATACGGGGTCAACATCGATAAAACTCGACATGTTATTTTACCGTTTGACAATGAATGAGAATAATGGAAGGATTTACAGAATCGATGCGATTCTGTGAACCAGTATATTTCAGTATTCAGATGTTCCAGTATATTTCGCGATTCGGTTTTATTTTCGCAAATCGCGCTTTCTTCACCTCGAGGTAATTTGACGATCCGCGTACATAATGCGAGCACTTCTTTGGCACTGAATCTAAATGTGGACCATTGTACAAAATCCTGGAGAATTGCCAATGTAATACCTGTAACGTGAATTTATTGTTTTACACCTACGTTACGATTAAACAAACAAGGGGGAATCGTCACTCCTCATGAATTTTCCATTCTCGTTTCGTCATTGAGAAATGACATAAATGAGACAGAAAATTGATCCTAAGAGAGAAATTTTATCTTCTCGACGCATTTGGAGAATAAATAAATGAATGATTCTTTATTAGTTTTTCTCAACTATTTCAAAAATACATCTTTTACAAATAATCCTAAATCTAAGTAACTTATCTAAGTAAATACTATATATTCTCTTAGCATTCTCTTAAATGACTCAAGTTTCTCACACTACTTTAATTCATACGATAAAACATTATATATTTTTACTCTTTCATAAAACATACTCTTTTGCGCACTTTTTGTTCTGAAATTTTATTACAATATTTCCGGTCTGTCGCGTTTATCTTTCACTTTCTTTTTCCACAATCTCTAACTTATTTTTTAATTGCTCCAATAATACGTTTTGTTAGGATTTGAAAAATAAAAGTATATGTTATAATATAGCGAGTGAAATATTGAAAGATTGAAAGATTTAGAAACATATATGTACATTTTTTGAACTGTTGCAATTTTCGATGGATATTTTAGATCTTTTGCACTTACTACTTGCGCCAGCGAAAGTGTATGTAAAATATTATATATGAGTAATGGAGTGCATAAGTAATTGACAGATAGGAATAAGTAGCGTATTTGAGAAGAAAGAATTCTGGATATTCGGTGATTTCCTTGACACAATTGTCCAGTTCCAGAATGCACGTGTTGTATTTCATTCTAAGAATATCTTCTTAAAAATATACATTTTTCTGGCCGCGAATCGGGCCTCAAAAAACAGAGTTTCAGATTATAAACAGAACATATGTAAATTCAGCATCGATCAAAGAAGAAAATTGAAGGTCGAGAGAAAGAAATAATTTCAAATATTAGATTTCCAATCAACAAAATTGTATTTTTATTTTAGCTCTCAGCTTTCAAAACTATCTTTTATGACTATAAATCTTGTTTTTAGTTTAACTAAATCTTCTGATTTCGTTAGTAGTTTTCATCGTCTTGTTCTTTTATTTTTCGCTCTTGCTAGATTTCGAATTACTAAAAGTGTATCTTTATCTTAACTCTGGCAAGTTTTTTATCCTTCTCGACTTCATAGATTTTTTCAATTTGACTACATTATGATAATCCTCTGGCTTCGTTTTTAATTTTTATTGTTCTTTTATTTTTCGCTTTTATACTAGATTTTATATTTCCATTATTTTATATTTCAATTATCAAAAGCGTATCTTTATTTTAGCCCGGAATTTTCTATTCTTATAGATTTAATTTGTAATAATTTGACTACATTGTGATGATCCTCCAGTTTCTTTCTTAATTTTTATTGCCTTATTCTTCTATTTTTATCTTCGATGTATTTTCACTGCTTTTCTCTCTGTAAAAAAT